ATACGACTGTACAGCTTCTGAAGATGATTTCGTCGATAAAGAAAATTTTCTTCGCTGAATCCGTCTTTTATTTTCTTCAAGACCGTATTTGTTCCAAGAAAAAGTGTGGTGGAGGTGTTGCAACTTTTATTCACTCAAAATGGTCCATTTCAAACAAAGTTTGTTTCAAATTCTCGAATGACTTCATTGATTGCATCACTGTGAGATGTCGCCCGAAACACATTTCAAAATACAAATTCATTTATATTTCTAATGTTTATGTCTCTCCTGGCTGTACCATATTGGATTTATCTATGTTCGCCGATGAATTCACCGCTTTTGCTGCAGCTTGCTTCGAGAACTCTTTATCAATAGTAACTGGCGACTTCAATGGAGCGATTGCTCCTTCCTTATATCACTTGGTCATGACAATATTGTTAACTTTGCCACCCGTCTTGGTAAAAAACTGGATCTAGTATTTATCAATGATGTTGGTATATATGAAGCTCGCAAACGTGCTCCTCTACTTAATTCTGACCACTGCATCATACGTGTGCTGCCTAAAATATATTCCAAATCACACAAAGGTGTCCTCTCTCACCTCTACAGTAAAGTTCAACGGAGATGCTACTCAAAAGACAACCTAGACAAGCTCAGATGCATGTTGAAAGACACTAACTGGGACTTATTTACAGAACAAACATTAGATGAAACAATCACAAACACTACCGATTATCTTAAATTCTGTTTCGAAATATGTTGTCCTAAAGAAACATTATTCATCCGATTTGATCGCTTATCTTCGCCATATCTCAAAAAGCTACGTAGAAATAAAGAACTGTTGTTCAAAACTAATGATAAGCCTGGTGTAAAAAAGTTAAACATGCTGATAAAACTGGAAATAAAAAGACTAAGTGTTTTATATAATCAAAGATTTTTGTCATGTAAAACCCCTTCTAATTTATGGAAACTTTTCAAAGAAATTACTAACGGTAAGCGATGTATTTCTGTTCCATCTCTTAATGTTGACACTCTTAATAAATCTTTCATACGCTCTTCTGTTGATACCCTTCCAAATGATACAAATCATATTGACAATAACTTTAGTGGTTTTAATACCCTTGATGTGCTTAAATGTCTCCGGTCTCTTAAGCCTTCTCAAAGCCTTGGTCCTGACGGCATACCTGCCATTGTCCTCAGGAATTGTGCTGATATTTTGTGTTATCCTCTTACTAACATTTTTAATGCCTCTTTTTCCGGTAACGTTCTACCTTTTGCATGGAAAAACATTAAAATTATCCCTATACCAAAACCATCTTCTGGTTCTGATATTAAATTTCGGCCTATTGCAATTACTTCCCCCTTTTTAAAATTGATGGAAAAATTACTTTTACTTCGTCTTGAACCCGCTTTGAAACCTTTTAATGATCCTAAACAATTTGCATACAAACATGGTAGAAGTACCTTGGATGCTGCGGTTGTCTTATATCACAATGTTGTCTCTTGTTTAGACAAAGGTGCTAAATATGTTCGTAGTGCTTTCTTAGACTACACATCTGCTTTTGACTCTGTACCTAGGGGCCTTTTATTAAATAAGCTATCGTTGACACAAACAGGATCCTGGGCTAAGAGTTGGTTGCATTCCTATTTTTCTGATAGAATGCAGTATACTGTATATAACGGCAAATCTTCTTCTACCTCGCTTACAAAATCCGGTGTTCCACAAGGTGCTGTCCTCTCTCCTTTTCTTTTTTCTTTCTTCCTACATGACCTGCCTCATTCAAACGAAACTAACTTTGTTAAATATGCAGATGATCTGACTGTATCACTGCCTATCACTTCCGAGTCTGACAGCTCCAAACTTAATAGCTTTCTGTTGGACATCAACAACTGGTCCAAGTCAAATGGTCTTATATTAAATCCTTCCAAATGTCAGGTGCTTGACTTTACTTTCAAGCATCGACGTGACTTACTTGAACTAGTTAACTCTCATGATCCCTGTAGCATAGATGGCACGGAAATTGAAACCAAATCAAGTATTAAATACCTTGGACTAGTTTTTTCCTCTGACCTTTCATGGTCATCCCATATCTTATCTATCTCTAAGAAAATGTTTCGTCTTACCTTCTACATTAAAAAGTTAAGACAATCAGGTATCAACCAACCTTTAGTTTTGCAATTTTTAAACTCCTGTATTTTACCTATTGTACTCTACTGCTCTCCATTAATCTTTCCTGGGCTGCTCAAAAAAGATTATATCATATTACGAAGAGTATTAAATGCTGTGAGTAGAGCTTGTGGTCTGCCACTGCATGAGCTCGCTAATACTATAGTCGAGAGGCATATAAATTCCTGTACGAAATGGGCAAAGGCTATAATGTCAGACCCTCTGCACCCCCTTTATTCACACCTGTCCCCTTGTATCTCATCAGGTAGGACGAGAAGTCAATATAAAAAGATATATGCTCGTACTACTAAGTATAGAAATTCTACAATACCCTATTTAGCGCGTACTTTATGTGACGAAGACTCTGTTAGACGTGAAACTTACAAGTTACTATGTAATTAGCACAGTGAATCGACCCTTTTATCGTTCATCTTTCTGTATTTTATGGTGTTACACTTTCTATCGTTTAAATCGTTACTCTGCTATTTTATATTAGTTGGTATTACTATTATTACTACAATTTTGTACTTTATACATATTTTTCTCCGTATGGCACACAGTATTTTGCTACGTAGCTGCTACAACAATCGTTTTATTACTATTATGTATTGTGTATTTTTAATTTTTTTTTGTCGTTTTTGGGTAAATTAGATGCAATATTGTACTGAATGCTGAAAATTCCTTGCTGTATCATGAGTACTGTTTTTGGAATAAAGCAATTATTATTATTATTATTATTATTATTATTATTATCCGGTCAAATCTTGATCACAGCTCATATGAGAATAGCAAATGTTTTATGACTGTTCCACCCACACACACATACACACACACCATTGTATCCTGCATATACTGCATATAAACATATATTTTAACAAAAGTAGACAAATTCATAGGAACTGTGATCAAGATTTGATCGGATAGTTGCAAAATAATTGAGCGCTGAGTGAGAAGTAGACATTTATAAATGGATGGACTGTTAGACCAGATTTGCTCTTCGAACACTGTCAGTTGGATTCTTTTGTTTTCTGAATGAAATATTATTGGGAAGTAGACAAATTTTGAAAGTCTGAGGTCAAAAAAGTTTCTGATCATAGTTCATACAGTTTTTGTTTTGTTTTGTTTAGTATACTTATTGATTCATATTTAAAAATAAGAGATGTACTTTTATGTAAACATACAATTCTATTTATTTATTATACATGTTGATACCTGTTGCATGACTCATGATTGGACAAAATTTTAAAAAACAAGATGTGTCCCTTTATATATAAACTTTGTTATGTTAATTTCGATTAATTTCCCTGAAGAAGTTCGAACCAGATTGCCGAACGAAACGTTGGAATTAATCATTTCAGTTTCGGTGAGATTTTACAAATATAACTTCATAAATGTCTACTCACTCAGCGCTCAATTATTTTGCAACTATCCGGTCAAATCTTGATCACAGTTCGTATGAATAACACTGTTCTGTTAATCAATTTTTCTGTTTTCCGTCTTACCCCTCCCCCCTTTTTTCAACTTTAAAAGCTCATAAATTGATGATGAAAACTTAAACTAAAAAAACTGTAATGCTTTCATTTAGATGCGTCAATTTTATAGTATCTCTTCTCTACCACCACTCAAACATTAAAGTATGTTATTATCATCTATAAAACCATTGTAATTTCAGGTAGTCTACAGCTGATGAGAACCTGTGAAATAGAATGATGATATTCTATACTGCAAATTTCGTCTTCCTTTCTTTATCGAAATTTATCAAGGGAACCAAATGTATGAATTTTTTCTTGTCTGTCAGGAGCTGAGCTAATATACTTGTCTTTTGACAATTAGCACAAATAAACTCATCAAATAAGACTGATGACTTGTCCTATGTGTTAAATTATCACTTTTCAGGGTTTTTAAAAGAATGCTTTTCTTTTATGATATATGCTAATACAAATTCTTGTTGATACCTTTGATGGCCATTTTTCAATGCATCTAATATGCTTGATGGACTGTTAGACCAGATTTGCTCTTCGAACACTGTCAGTTGGATTCTTTTGTTTTCTGAATGAAATATTATTGGGAAACGTACCACACACTTCTTCATATCACCTCAGCGCAGCAAATCACGTTCAGGCTATAAGCATATCTACAAACATCTAGTCAGTAGACTAATGTTGAAAAACTGTATTGATTTAGCGTAACTGTTGAAAAAAACCTAAATTTCATTTTGAAGAAGTGTCATTCTAATATAATAACAAAAAAATAACAGAAAGTATTATTCATGGCCTAGTCGATATTGGCTTTTTACTGGTTACCAGTATGTTTTATGCCAAAATAATTTGTTGGGATTGATCGATTTCTTATCATTTGTACTTTTATTCTCTTTTGTTTGGTATTTTTAGTAATGTGGAGATTTAATAATGGATGATTCATCATTACACACAATGACTGCTATGTTTTCATATATGTTTAGGTAGTCAGTTTCTCCTGACTGTATAAAATATTTGTTGCTAAACCATTCAGACATAGGATTATCAGTTAGCTGGATCTAGATATATTTATTCTAAATGTATTCCAGTAGTATAACAACGTATCTTGTACTCCTAGCCGTCTATTTCACTTTCAAAAACAAATACGCCGGACAATCTGAACTACTTAACATTCTGTTTGGTGTCACTCGACACTCCAGAATTTAAAAAAAATGTACCAGTACGTAAAAGAGTAGGTATTTCACTGACATAACATGAAAGCTAAACTAATGACCGCTAATGCATTTATTGTCTAGGTTTTAGGTGGTTAATAAAATCAAATGAAAATTTCATAAGGGGATATACAATTCACTGTAAATGATAACAGGCATACTTACCCTGGTGAACCTGAGTATAAGTTTATATCCAATATTTCCAAATTAATTCGTTGATATGGAAGACCAATTAACTGATATGCACAGATAAGATTATTAGGATGAAAGCCTGGATAAGTAGGTGAGATCAATTCACCTGATACATCATCTAAAAAATTAGTACCTCCTTCTGTACCTGTCTTAGGCATATGTTCTGCTTCAATACGAAAACGACAATTGCTGCTGCGGATGAGAGTGGGGACACCAACAGTGCTGCTAGTAGTAGTTGGCGAAGAAGGTAAATCGTCTTCAAATGGTATATGCAATTCGGCTGATGAAAGCGCCTTACCTGGGTAGAAAGCATCTAAAATATGAAAGAGTGGAAAAAATAACAACTACAATCTGTTGTTGATTTTACGGCAGTGTTTATCAGAAATTAGCATCAGCTAGCAAAAATCTGTAACAAACCGTTTATTTTGATTTTGTGATTACTGAATACTAGATAAGTACTACTCGACATAGTAGTGTGTTCAAACCTATTATTTTTCACAGAAATTATCTACGAATGTAAGCCAGATTAAAGTTTTATGATTCAGCCAACACTGTTAAATGAATTCATTGTAAGGTTTAATTACCCATCAACTGATGCTGTTTAGAGATTGTATTTGCACCATAATGCGTAAACCAGTGGCTATAAAATTAAGGCTGATAGAGATTATCATATTGTGTTAACAGGAAATTCATGCCATTATGAATATATTAAAGAATTTTATTTGTAATTTCGAATATCATCTTAAAATCCAATAATTCATAAGTTTCATTACAAGATTCACAAGTAACTTATTACAAATCAGAACATATTTATTTGTATCACTTTGGCGTAAATTATGGTTTCATGGTTTTATTTTGATATTACATGTTCGAGTAGCAGTTGTTCACTGAGAGGATAACGAAAATTATCAAAATACAGTGTAATCAAGGCAGAATCCGAATAAATAAAAAAACTGCTCTGATCTTTTTATTGCTCAACTACTTCACTTAGATCACTTATATACTTAGTTGGTGCTGGGATTCACATATACTCAGTCTTAAAATCACAGTGATGTCAGTTACAAGAGAATTGCAGAGTTTCCATCAGTCCTCACTAACTGCAGTAATTCAGTATTAATTATTAACGGAGCTATGCAAATAATTATTCGACGTACTTTAAAGCAATAAAGCATCTCACAAACTGTTCTACATCTACTGAAAAATTTTTTCAAAATTATAGACACAATGTTCTTGGTCAAAGGAAAGATAAGAATCAATTCTTTTTCAATCTGGTATTAGTTCATTTGGGAAGAAGCAGTTTTTTTCGTGAAATCTCTTCAATTCGTTATAGATATTTGTTTGTTTATTCCTTTACGTTTCCAGTGGTACATAGGACTTCAAGCTCTTTGAGCTTTGAAGTTTCAGAAGCAGCGGTGCTTTATTTTTACGGCCTGGGGTTGCTAGCCTCATGCCCAGTCTTCCTTCTTTACCTGTCCTATTATTGGCCTAGGGAGGTAAAGGAGTGTGTCAGCCGGGGGTTGAACTCCGAACCCCATGAGTGGTTGGCCAGTATTCTACCGCTGTGCCAATAACGCAACAACCTAAGATAATTGTTATATATTGTCTTAATTGAGTGAATGGTTCAGTGTTAGAATACTCTCCAACCACCTACGTGGTTTGCAATTCGGTCTCAAGTCGACTCACTCCTAAACCTCATTCAGCCGGTAGCAACCCCAGTAAAAAGCGAAGACTGAGTATGAGAGTAGCAGCTTCACATTGTAAAAAAAACAACACCATCGCTAGTGAAACATCAGAGTTGAAGCATGAAGCCCTCCGAGAGTAGAGCGATAAAATTAAGAAGTTTTAATTAACACGTTAAGCAATCTGTTACAAAATGAGAAAAACGTGATAATTCATTGGCTTGAAGTCCATTTAACAGAAACCAGTGTTCTTAGCAGACATCATTTTTATTCATTTAAACTAAAACTTACAAGTGACTATTATTTATCTTGATGTGAACCGTTATCTCCTTATTAAGAAAAAATATACTAATTTCAGAAATTGTTGTTGGTTAGTAAAAAACAGCGATCTAGTATATGTGTCTTATCGACATTAAAAATCCGGCATTATTATTTATTATTATTATTATTATATCCCTAATTCGTAGAGGAACATAGGGCTTCACCCACGCGTCTCCATTGCGTTCGGTCCTCTACTAGAGTTCTCACCTGGCTCCAAGTGTGCCCACATGCTTTCATCTCCTCCTCACATGACCTCCTCCAACTCACCCTTGCACTGACGACCAACTCACCGCTTCCCTTTCGGGTTCCACTCGAGTAATGGCTTGTCTAGTGATGTCACTTGATGATCTCCTCAGAGTATGGCCAGTCCAATCCACTTCCATTTCTTCCTGCCTATTTGTTTCACAATCGGTTCCTGCTGTGTTGGTTCGCTCATTGCCAGAGATCCCTATTGCTGATCTTTTCTGGCCGGCCATCTGATCTTGAGTAATGAGCGAAGACAGCTGTTAATGAAGGTCTGAAGTTTGTTTGAGATGCTCTTTATGACTCGCCGAGTCTCTGATCCGTATTGTAGCACCGACTTTACATTGGAGTTGAAAATCCGGATCTTAGTTTTGATGCTGAGTGCTGTTGACCTCCACACAGACTTGAGAGTTGTGAAAGCTTGTCTTGCTTTTCCGATTCTTGCTTTGATATCCTCGTCAGTTTGGTCCGCCTGTAGTTGAAACGATGCCTCCCAGGTAGGTAAATGAAGGAGGTCGTTTCTCTCAGGTTCCTCCCATTTATGCTGGCGGATTGTTGTCTGTTGTTGGTGGTGTTGATGTTGGCCAGGAATCTTCATCACCTCTGTTTTCTCTATGTTCACCCGAAGTCCTATCTTTGATGCTTCTTCTGCCAACTTGTTGCTTTTCATTTGCATATCTTCCAGTTTGTGGGAAATCAGACATATATCATCGGCGAAGTCCACATCCTCCAAGTTTTTTGTGTGAGTCCATTCTATGCCTGTTTCCTCATTGCCTGCTGTCTGTCCCATTATCCAATCTACTTCAATCGGCACGGGTGAGTTAATTTCTTCAACTTTTTAATTAACATTCGATTTTTCAATATTCTATTATTCCTTTAATCAATAACCGTTGCACAAGAAGTGGCTCTATTGGCCTAGTCGTTAGCAATTTGATGTCTTAAACGACGAATATCTGGTTGGAGATTCAGTTGCTGTGGATGCAGGAGCATCTAGCCAATGAGTCTTAAGTAGGATAAAATGAGCATCCAAGATTCCAAACTTTGCACTACCGACAAAATGATTTTTACTAATTCCTTACGATTACTACACTCAGAACAAATTTACAAAACGTGGTTCTTCTTCTGTGGTACAAGGTATGCAAAAATAATGAAAGAAAATAGGCAAAAGCCTGCTAAACAATGTACATATTTTACACAGTAACAAAGAACATTGGCAAATATGCTGTTTCAACAAACTAAATGTCAACATCAGTGAATTATGCACACTGAATCCTTTTTACTGGGTTGAACTATTTTGAATGAGAGACCAAACATATTGTGTAAAGAAGTTAGAGTTTTTTCTCCTAAAAATGACTCCTGAAGCTACTAACTTAATAAATGTACTGTAAGGTCAGAGAACACATTTTCAGGAAGTTGATCATACTGGAAACATTCAGTATCTGTCACACAGAAGGTAAATTTACTTATGATAAAGATTGAAACCACTGTTCACCACTTCTTGGTGTTCTACTAACAAGGAAGCCAGGTGGTAGAGTTAAGAAGTCTTTAGTTGGTCAATACACATATTGTATGAATATGGATTTTGTCATTATTCCTTCTTCCCATTTGCTCATGTCAGTCTGTGAAATACAAAAGTTATCGTTATCAGTATTATTGTATTCTCGTGTTCCTGCAGTTTGCGCTTCACACAAAATTATTTTGAGTGGTCATGCCAGAAGTCAGTAATCCACGTTATTTTGTTCAATTTCTTATTATACATCTTCTAATCAATCCACTTTGTTTTTAAACAAACCCACTGGTTTAAACGCAGTTCGGATCCTGGCTTCTTTAAAACCTCTGGTGTTCCTTTTTTGAGTGATATAAATACAGCCTTTTCGTAGTCACCGTCCTGATCCGCTGAAATTTAATTTTCACATTTGCTTTTTGCTTGTTGTTGTCTCTTTTTAATTCTTTCAAATAGCGTTTTTTTAAAGCATTCTCAATAAAATGTTTATGTATACATGACTATTGGCGTAAACTCTTTAACATTTTGATGCTCATAACTTTTTAATCCACGAAGCACTGCTACAATAAAGGCGAGTTTATGTGAGTAGCTCTTGTTATAGATACAAATTTCCATGACTGCATGATTTTTTATTTTAATTTGTTCTGTGAGATTACCTAGAAGTTCTTGGTAATCCTAATGAGTTTATCAGCTTAGTGAATTGAAAAGGTGAACGTTATGAAAATTGTGATTGCATTTATTATTACATATAAAGAGTGAAACGATCACACAAATATATCAAAACACAGATGGTTCTTGTAAATATGAGATAAACTGCGTTACTTAGATGAGTACTGAAGAAGGATACTTCATTATCCCTTTCCGTAAACAGCCAATATTCTATTCTGCACCGACTTTTGAATATATGTGAAGCATTTTAGTGTTTAAGAATTTTAGTGAAGATTTTACATTATCTGCCAACAAACTGTATTACTGGAATCGAATAAACACAATGGATCAAAAGCCAGGTAGAGTAGAGTAAGAAGAACCTTTTTTTGAATAAAAATGCGAATTTTAAAGACACGTATTGACTGATATGAACTGATCATAAAATCTTCGTGACCAGAGAAGTCCACCAAGTTGGGTTTGACGATAGATAATTACCAATGGCGTTGACTCGCAGTTGCTCTAAATATCGCTAATTGTCGGAAGTCAAAATTTATAGGCCGTTGGATTCCGTCCCGACAGCTGAGTGGTCGACGAGTTTGCTCCATAGCCTGAGAGCTTCGGGCTCATTCCCTGGTGGGATGATGGGTGCGTACTTACAACGAGTCCCAAACAAGGACAAAACAATTTCCCAGTACTCTCTAGTTTCTTACGGTTCCCTGACTTAAATCATTTCGTGATCAAACTTTAAACAGATTTACTAGTACGATGATAATTTCGAATAATCCACTAAATCATTGAATACAAATCTGGCAAAGTGATTTGACACCATTCACAAAAAAGACAATATTTTAGTAAATACGACTATTCTGTTTTTGCAGGTGTGAAGGATCGTGGGTGAAGTACAGCTACTTTGAACGTTGGATAATCTAAGCCCTGGGTAAAATATCTACTTTCTAATCCTAATATCAAAAAGAAAAAGTTAAGATAAACGAAGGAGAACTGAAGATAGTATCGAATGACAGGGAAACTGTCTACGATAACTTTGCGCTGACAGACTGATACTGATGTAATGGTTGATGATTAAAGTCTCTGCAGGATTCCAAGTACCGGCCTTATAACTACTGGTCCGTTGTTCTACCAGCTGATTTCTTCGTAGAGGATATCATGTATCGTCTTTACAAAGTTGATTAGACCTCTGTAAAATAGCTTGGCTGCTTAGATTAGCAAATATATATTCAATACAGGCAAACAAGGTAATTTGCGTTTTCTCTCCTTCAGTCACTGGTGCACCAGGTTAATGCTATCTATCTATCTATCTATCTATCCTAGTTCTTTATTATGATTGCATTTTTCAAGAGATTGTTTTTGGGAAACATCAAGTGAAATGACTAGAGTATTTATTTACCTTCTTTTTATTCCTCTTACAGTTCATTTACTCATTTATTCATTGATTCATTTACCCTAATTTGACCTAATTCTATTTACTTTTTGATGATTTTTGAAGTAGTTGGAAATGAACAGACTGAAATAACTATGTTATTATTTTTATTATTATATTTATTATTCCTATAATTACGATTTCTTATTCAGAGATATACTTAATGAATAAGTAAAGTAATCATATTTGTCTTCTATGATGTTGATTAGTTCTGTGGAATGACGGAAGAAGTATGGCACTCAATTATGCTTTTATGATTTCAAGTTTGCTAACTGATGCTTAGGCGTGATTTATTTAAGAAATAAAGAGGTATATGGAGTGTATGAATCTTATTATCCGAGACGTATAATCTATTATACTGTGTTTTATAGAGTACAATACAATGTAACGGATAAAACAAAAGGGGTATAAGAATAGAACTTATGCACTGTAATAGAGTATAATTCCATTGTGTATTAAATTTACTTTGATAAAATCTCACAGTGTTATACAATAATATTTACAAATAACGTTTCGAGCACAATTTATTGCTCATAAGAATATCAGGGTGATAATAATTTTCAGCTTTAATCGTCTTCCTTAATATGTGGAATTGAATAGTAATTGTATCTATGTAAAATTTAATTGTATATATGCGATTGTACAGCTCTATAGAATGAAATCGCCGAAATGATGTCTTCTCTGAACTTCTGGTTCTTTTCTCACAAATGGCACACAGGCTACATACTCTTAAGATTCACCAAAACAGCAAATTTGAAAACAGTTGATGTACATAATTTGTCTTATTGATAAGCAAACACCAAGGAATGAATAAACGTCAGATAAAAAAATTAACATATACAAAGGTGATCCTCTTGAAAGTTTCTGTATTACCACCAGTATCTATACATTTAAGGAATTCCTAACATTAGGCTGAAACAAGACAATATTTTGTGATGAGCGTTCCCTAATACCGACTAGTTAGTTGAAAACAATCATGTGCAGAAAACGTCTCACTACAATAAGTGTATATGCGAATTTGACGAAACTTCTGCGTCATTTATGAAATCCGAATAAAACTGTCTACCAGGTGAATATACCCGTATACCAAGAATCTACTTAATCAGTAACTTGCTGGTTAAAATATAATCGGTATAAGCGGCAGTCGCGTTTTTGAGTATTTTGTAATGTTAGAAGCTTCTGAACTGCTGCATATCTACTGAACTATGATAACTGTTCAAAAAATTTCAGTACTGAAAATATTCTCTGACATAATACTGATCTGTATAAGGCTATTGATATTTCACTTTTGCACAAGATTACCTGTTTGAGAAACGAATGAATCATTTACAAAGTATTCGCTAGCATTCGGTATATATTTTGAATTTTTATATTTATTTTAAAATGAAAATAAAAACTGTACAGTAGAAAAAAGCCTATCTTTCTGCAACTTGCATTCAAAGGTGATGATCCCGCTAGTAGAATAAGAAGCAAACTGAACACTGTCCTGAAAAGAACATATCCAGCCACCAAGCTTGTATGTGTTTATCAAACAACTAGTTGTTTGAGACAATCAAAAGTGTTACCTCATGTTACCTCCAACTGTGTCTACCAATTTACATGTACATGCCAAAGCACATACATTGGAAGAACAGAGAGAAGTGTTAATATCCTCATTTATGAACACATATCAAAGAAACTGAGACTGAAAGATCCGCAAGCATTAAACAATGCGATTGCTCGTCATCTATTGGACACTGGTCATATTGTTGACAACCTGAATCTATTCAAAATAATCAACAAGCAAAAGAAACCTAGCTTGCTACGCCTTGCTGAAGCAATTACCATCAAACGACTTAAACCAAATCTATGTAAGCAGAAAGAGACAAGGGTGAATCTTGCACTGCCCTGGTGATAACAAAAAATATGCAACTTTCATGAGTCACCTTTTTCATGTTTAGAAAACTCTAGTCTCTCATCTAAACATGACTCACCTTACCTCGTTTCTTTTCTGTCCTTTTTTCTATTGTCTGAGAAGTTTTCTTTAGTTACGTAATCTACTTTTTTGTTATGCCCTTTCTAGCTAAACCTTGTTTCTATACACACACATACGTACGCAACCATGTTTTTTTTATTTCCAAGCCTAATTGTCTAATTATTCTATAAATAGTCAGTGTTTGTAACTCCTAATCAGTTAAACCATTCCGGATTAATGTTACTTTTAATTCCTACCAATTACTCCTTAGGATCATGGAAAAGTATGTTCATATCTTTAATGTAATTCATATTTTTTATTCGTTCAGGTTGTAACCAGTTGAGAAGATGAGCACATATTATCCCGGTACAGTTGTTGTTCTTGCTTTGTTCAAGTTTATTAATGGGAAGAATTGCATGACGTTTTTAATATTTTTAGGCAAAATACTGTATATATCACTTCTATTCTAAAAACAATAAAGTATATTCTAGCTATGATAACAGATGTTTTCTCTATAAACAATAAAAAAGTAGAAAGGCAGTCAAAACAGCCACAGACTAACTATTAGTGCTTACCATCGTTAATAAATTCAAATGTCCCATTGAAACCGTAACTATGCAACTTTCCAGACGTATACCATGAATTTCCAGGTCTTTCTAAATCAGCATAAAAGTCGATTACTAGCTCTCTATGCAAGCTAGTAAATGTCACTGAGTTAGATGACAGGAAATTTCCACAGTAACGTCCCAATAAATCTGACTTGTCCAATACAGAAGAGTAAACGGCTGCTGAAAACGGTGTTGTTGTTTGTTGTTCACCAGTCAAAGCTGATGAAGATGCTTGCGTAAATATAGCACTTTGTCTGTCCATATCTAGAGTTGATGAAGCAACATCGATATATACATCTAAGAAATCGACTGAACAGCTGTTAGATAAAGAGAAAAAAGCAAAAAGAAGTTTATTTTGATTGATTAAATAAGACTTTGAACAGATATAAACATAAATTTGTTGAAAAATGCAGTTTTTATTATCGAAATCTTAGAGCAAACTAGCCAGCTACTTACGAGGACACTCAAAAGGTTTCATCAGTTACCCTTCGACTGTGTAATGTCCCAAAACGCTAGAAGAGCTAGAAGGTTATTCTCTTCACCACTTTTAGTAGTTACGCCTGATTAATAAAGTACTCAACAGAGAAGAGTCTTGATGACAGAAACATCCAGACGATGTAAATTACATTACACATGAACAATGAGTTATTATGCCTAGGTTTATGTAAATTGTATTTAAGTCTGAGTGTTTAGGGTAATTCGATCTGCCATACATAAGTGGTCATATGACAGACTTGGATGGATTATATAATTTTGGTTATTTAAAAGACATTGCCGTAGTGTTCTTTGTGAGATCAATGTCACACTATTCTTCCATTTGAAGTATTAAAAAATAATCAGCTTTCAATAAGTCTGCTGCTAAAACCAGATGCTTTTGAAAAGAATGCTTATACTAAGAAAAGATGAAGCAACTTGTTTTTGAAAATTAATATTCCTAATACTTATATTGCAGTTCTCTCTGCTGCTTACAATCTGTAGATGAAAAGAAGAGGTCTAGCTGGTTTAGTTTTAAAAAAATGAGGGTGCAATATCCACCTAACTAGCAACTAGATCTCTGAAAAATAATACAGGAGCTATATTTCAAAAATAATACCTAGGAATGCATAAGATAAAACGAAATGACGCATATGTATTCAAGCTCTCAGTAACACTGCATCTGTGGAAAAATTAAGATATCTTTCACTATCAAAAGAAGTTAATTAACTACTCCTATTTGACTGCTTTTGACAGATAACTAAAATATTCTCAGTTTGGGTTAGTTTTGAGTAGAAAGTAGATATGCCAACACATTTTCATAGTTTTATATTTAGAAAGCCACTTGCATCAATTGGAGTAGTACATAATGAATTATGAATCAATATTTGAGTGATAGGAGACTGAGTGAACCAAGATTCAAGAACCTATTACATGTGCGTCGGTGGCACAGTGGTTAGGACTCTCGCCGACCATGCACATGGTCCGGGGTTCGAGCCCACGCCGACGCACACCTGATATCTATGGTCGGCCTGCGAATTTTGGGCTACCGATATCCACGCTGAAAATTCCATACTTGTACCACAAATACGGTGTGGAATCAAGCTGTAATCAAAAAAAAATAAAACACAGTTGTACGACTACGTTTTCAAGATTCATGCCAAAAAATATTCAAATTCTAAAACTAATCAGATCCCTGGTGTCATTTACATTTTAGAAGTGCCAGGCTCTTTAATTTACTGGTTATAAACTTAAGGAATTTGTATTTTCAGTGTGACTTGATTTTATAAGCAATCACTTTAAGCACCACAGTTAGTTAGTTAAGTTTAACAAAATAAATGCATTGTTTCTTTTGCAGATAAACAGTATTACCAAGTTTCGCTTATTAATAGAAAATAATTTTTATCAAGTGCCTTGTAGATCAAATTTACGTCTAATTTTATACACTAAATGATCATAAATAAAAGTAACCACACTAAATAACTGTCTTTCTCTCCATCTTTCACTTTCATTTGTTGTTTTCTTCGTAGTGGTTAATCTATTCGTAGGTATGCGGCGAACGATTTTGTAGTTGATTATGTCAATCAATAATACATTTTATAAAGCGTGTGGAGTTTGTTTCTTCACTTTTACTTGATAAATTGTAGTGAACACTGCTTTCACATAAACAGTCATTAGTGCCAATTTCGTACATCAAATTGTTTATTTGTCGTGCTGACAAACAGTAAGTTGTGCCTGTAGCAAAGAAACATATCATTGTGCGGTCAAGCACGCACACTTATTTGCAGGAAATTAAACTAATCAGTAACTAAATTGATAAATGTATTTGAAACACATTTAAGTGTATGAAACTGCTTCAATACAATTCAGTAGCCACTTCCCTACGAGTTATATGTGAATACTTGTTGGCTGGAAGTCATTTCAGGTTTAACTGATATCAGAGTTATCGATACTACCACCAGTGTCAATATCCCTACGATAAACCAGATGGCATAGTTCACTTTAGAAAACTTGCAAATAGTCATTTCACTGTTTGCAGGTAAGTTGCAAATTAGCTTACAGAAAGTAATAAAAAGGTGAAGTTTTTTAATTTAAAAAATGTCCGCAATAATAAAAGTTATCTTTGTCTTGGTGACAGTGGTAAATGTTCAGACTTTACGCTTAAGTTGATCATCAGTGTTGCAGTAGGTAAGAGAAAAGAAGCCCACATGTATTATACGATTGCAAACTGCTGAACATGTATAGATCTAGTATGCTTCAAACTCTAGGCTTATGTGATAGGGTACTAATCAACTCAGAGAATGTGGGTTCGCAGCCTTATTTGTTTTCCTTCGCGTTCCCAGTGGAACATAGGGCTTCAAGCTAGAGGCTTGAAGTTTCTGTAGCAGTGTGTATTTATACAGGATGGGGTTGCTAGCCTCATCCCCAAACTTTCCTCTTTACCAGCATTATTTCTGGCTTAGCGAGTTAAAGTAGTGCGAAGTCCTGGGATCGAACCTCTGACCATGTGCATGGTTGGCGAGCGTTATAATCGCTATGCCACCGACGCACTCGCTGCCTTATTGATTTACTTTATATTCAAGCAGTATTTTACTTCAGCTGACAAGGCCCTCCGACAAATCTGAAAACTCTGTGCATCTAGACACTTCTATCACTATGTTTAAAAGTTATATTGACGCAGATATTTCTTTAGCTGATATTTCGCATCAGAAGCAATCCGCAAAATCTCTCAAGTAGTCTTTTACAATACTAATTAAACCTTGAAGTTGGCCTATATCTCATCTGTGTGCCTTTTTGAAGATGATTTCATACCCTCCAGATGAAGTGTCAATACAGAAATAAAAGTACAGTGAATTGTTACCACTGATTTTAAAGTTTATTGAATCCAAGTAACACTACATCATAATATGCATACATAAATCTCATTTACAAGACTATAACCCACCGAGACTCAAGCCCAACAAGAGAATTTTCATCACTCAATACAGATACAGGTGTATGAAAATGACACTCTTCTTGGATCCCACTACTAGCCAACATTAACCAAACAATATCGTATTGAACTTCAAACGCAACTGAAGCATAAAAACTATGAGCTGACAAGTCAACGGAGAGCGAATATTTTACTCTGAGAAAGTAAAATACAAAATAACTTAAATAAAGTTTACCTTCTACTTTGAAACCATTCTGAAAATAGAAAAATCAGTCTAAGTGAATGATTGGGAAATATTCTGCTTGTCGTAAGAATAATCCGTTTTAAGCTCTACTGAAAATAGCCTGGAGAGTACATGTTGCTGAGATAAATCTAAATGAAATAAGTCATGCAGGTATATAGCGTTGTTTGATTTTCGATAAATTTCTTCACAATTCTAATCATCAATGGAAGTTGCCTACCTTTTTCTGTTAACCATCAAAATAAATAACAATTATGTTCTAATCTGAAACATTTGCAATATAGATCTATTTTACACTTTTGTTTTACAACACTGTGTAAAAGAAACAATTTAGATCAGTTTGATATATGTATAACTTATAAACTCACATTGGCATATCACCTGATAGGAAGAACTGGTCGAATTTTATATGAACTTTTTCTCCAATATTTGCTATAAAACGATAAATACAGCGTGTGCCACGTTCATATAATTTAGGCCATTGTGGTGATGTGAATACACCTCGCTTTCTTAACTGTTTCATTTTTTCACTACTATTATTGTTATTTTCAATACTATTGAATATTGTTTCACTATGTGAATGTTTCATTGAATCGTCTAGAGATGAACTTCTAATGAGTACTTCACCGTTTCCAGAATGACACGTGTAACCGCTTGTTCCAGTAATAATCAGAACAACATTAACTGAAAGAAGAAAAATAGATATACGATAACTTAAATATTGATAGTGCGTAGTCATAATTAGTTGACTCAAAACAAAAAAATTGTAGAAGTTACATCTACTGTTAAGTAAACAATTCTTAATTATGAGTTAGTAAGACAGTAAACACCTTCAATGGTAAAGTACGTATCTGTTGCTGAATAACTGTTTATGCACAGTTGCTTTCCTCTACTTTGGAACTTGTCACTAGTGTCTATTCTACACTGTTTATATAGCTAAAACAAACAGTTTTGGATTTTAGTGTCAAAAACGTTATCGTTTATTTTCCAAAGATTCTCCAACATGCGCCAATCCATAGTACAAAACCACCCTCAAATTATGGAAACATGTGACTGAATTATGGATTTTTAGTTTATCATGTAGGAAACTATGATTACATGGATTTGATTGCTTGCAAGTTTGATCATGAACTGATTTCAGTTAGAGAAGCACTTAAAACCGGGGAGTACTGGACAGCTGTTCCTCCTCAGTTTAGGATTGAGGTTCTTTAACAGTATGCACCCGTGACCAGGGATCGGACACAATGCCTTAAAGTTACATGGTAAGCTTGTATACGATTGAGTCACTGAGGTTTAATTCAATAGCCCATCAACGCTAACATTTGCAAATTCTAGGGAGAATTCGTGATCAACGGGTAACACCAAGTTTAGTCTGAGGATAGACAGTGATGGATGGTCTTTGCTGAATGTGATGCACTTACCGAGGTGAGAGATAATTGACCACTGGACTCCGTCTCAGAGACTCACCCTGTAAACCGAAGGTCTCGGTTTTGATCCCTGATGTGGTGATGAGTGCGTACTGCTGAAACTCTCCGACAAGGATGGAACAGTTTTCCAGTACTCTCCGGTTATCATCGGTTCTCTAACTGAAATTATTTCCCAATCAAACTTGAAAATGAACAACGATGAAGTAGGATATTTTGATGATGAATACTTAATCCCAGTTAATATCAGTAAAAAGTTTGAGCATTGTGGATCAAATAAAGTATAAAGTACATTCCAATAGTTTACACACAATGGTAATATTTCGAGCAAAATTACCAATAAAAAAACTTATCATTGTGTGTAAGCTATTGAAATATAATTATACTTTATTTGACTTAATCCCAGTTTGAGCAAAATCTGAAAACGTAGCAACCTTAACCGCACGATATGAACAAAGTCAACCAAAAAAATAATAAAATTGTGCTATTCAGATGTGAAAAATCATAAATACTGCTTCTGCTGGTTCCAAACATTACATCATCTATTTTAGTCTGATATTTAACGGTGAATTCATGCAGATTGTCCTTTTAGTTGATGTTTTCTTATCGCTTGAATGCAGATACGTGACGATGGTATATCTAACAAAAATCAGTTAAACCTCCCGAAGGTTACTTTGGAGATGATGATACATTTTCTTATATTTACATACCTCCTTTTATTCTGGAGTTAGAACGTATAGATTTACCTAGGTACTTTGATTACGTAGGATAAGCGACCTTTAGTTGCTACTAAAAATAAGGAAGCACTTGAGCAGAAAAAACTAATTACCTCCAAGAACATTTGTCAACCAAAAATACACTAAATATTGTACTAGAGTCTACACAACAAGGATGTACATCTTACCGTAAAACAAATAACTTTATTTTTTAAATTAATCTGCTCAGTTTCTTCATCAGGGTAATAGATTACAGCTTACAACCATGAATACTGAACAAACCAAAAAAATCAACAAGAAACCGTGAGCCGCTTGTTAATACATTAGTTATAGCGTTAATGACTTTCATGATGACATCACTGATGTAAAGTTTCAATTACTTGGATAGTATCAAGTCACTCAAAGTTGTAGGATTTCTCACACCAATATCTGACCTGCTGATGATATCAGATATGTTAGTAAAGTAAAGTTGCATATTTTTCTCTGATGATTCAACAGTGATTTATGCTAAAAACCTCTTTGTCATTAAACCAATCAATCAATAACTCATCAAGTTTCATAAGGATACACTTGGTGTCGATGGATGAAGCATATTAGTAAGTACGACTGCTTACTTTCATGTACTCATATTCTTTCACAGTGTTCACTAACAATCACAAACAAGCAAATGAAAAGAATGTTTCGTTATCCGTCCCTGTCTCATACAGTGTTGGTACTCTTTATATATATATATAGTCAATCATCTGCCATTCTTTTGAAATTAAAATAAAACGAGAATGGTTTTTCTTAACAAAAAGCGGGAGAGAATGGAAATCAAAACTGGAAAATTTTTTCCCTCAGTAATCACGCAACTGCCGAATTTTTTTAGTAAACTATATATATATAATACACAAGGTAAATGAGGCAGAAGCAGATGAGAGGAAAATTAATCAAAATTGCTATGGTTATTTATTTAATTTTGATAAAGTTGATGGAATGAATTCACTATAGTTTTAGTGTCAGCATAGCTTTTTGTAGAAGAAAATAAAAAAAATTCTAGATTAGATTTAGTATTTGGTGTGTCATTTGCTAGGCTTCCCTAATCCACAGATAGATTTAATCAGAACAAGTATTGAAGGTTATAGGTGAAAGCGATTCAATTGCAAACTGACTCACATTGCTTGAAAATAACTATAAAAACTGAGTGGATACTTATCTATTAACAGTTGTCTCTATCGTATTATTTAAATCAGCTATAATACAAATGCCCAGTTTTAGCATAGATGCTATTAAATGATGAAGTCTTCACTTATACACTTGGTACTACCTCAGGGCTTGAACGACTGAGTATTTACGGTATGGAATCTTCAGAGCAGACTTAGCTTTTAGATAGGTAATAAAGAAAATATTCCCAGCAAATCAGTAGTCGTTGGTTTTCCTAGCCCTTAGGAAAACTTCCATATTGAATACGTTTATGTGCTAAAACATGCAGCAGTACAGTATTATTAAAAGAATACCACTTAAAGCACAAATTATTGCTCATAATCACACAACTGTGTTTGTATGGAAAAGCCTGTCAACATCTGAGTCATAATTCACACAATTAACGCAGCTTTGTGAAGACTGTTTATTGACTAAAATTAGATTCTTGAACAGTTGCGAGGAATGAAATAAGAGGGAATTTCGGTGAATTACATTTAAGGATAACGATGAAACTGATGAAATCAGGATGACATAATTCATAAGTAAATGTAGGCGGAACAATTAGTAGATTGATTTAGAAAATATAGTTGCTTGTCGACAAAATTATTTTGCAATTGTTTCTAAATATTTGTCAAGATACACTTAAGATACCAGTCTTAACAGTAGTGATAATGCCTTCCAACAGACAATATACCTAGATCTTAGGCATCCTATAGATTGACTCTTGAAAACATCTAACTGAACATTGTTTTATACCCGTAAAACAAAACTTTTACTCTTGCTGTCTATGCATTTTATCCGCTGAAGACACTAACTATTGTTGATCGTTGGAAGCTTATTCTTGTTTAAATACGCTGCAGTAAATTCATTTTAAAACTGACAATAGAGAACTGTATGGAAACCTGAGATACAACAGAATATGTGGAGGGATTCCAGAGTCATGCCTTTTATCTTGCGCAAGTGTGATATTTATGCTGGTATTTTCTAAACACTGCTGCACCAAAATGCTTTATTGATCGATGACAGACAAACCAAGGTTTAAGTGTTATGAGGCATCCAGACATATATAAGAAATAGTAACAATTTATCATAAAACATTCGATCATTCTCAGTTCTTGTCCATCAATCAACAAAATATCCATACCCGATCTGTCTTCTGAAAATTTAACTTCAATGAAAACTATCATTTCTTCAAACTTAAAAAGTGAAACTCTGAGTTGTATTCACTTTCCATCACAAATTCAATTGAAGCTTTAAAGAGATACGCAGAAGTTTAGTATTTTCATCAGTTGTGATAAAAAGTTTCATATATATATATCTTCTATATGGAAGCATACAAAATTTTAGAAATGATTCGCTGAAAGCGGAAATTCTTTGTCAGATTAAATCTTTTAATTTACCGATAATATATCTGTCTTTCCTATTCGGTTTTCTGATATTTTTCAGACAGCAGACTGATATCACTCAGTGGAAGTTATAAAGAACGACAACGAACTCTACGTGTCACCGACAGACTAACTCTACAAAAGCTAATGGTTATAATTCTGCTGCACGGCATACCGTAGTGAAGAATACTTCGGCATGATCTTAATCTCATGACAAGAATTTATTCCCATGAGAAATAAACTGACTTTCTGTGACGATTTGCCCTATACATGACCAACACAATACCAGTGTTTTCGGATCAGTTTGTTAGTACAAATCTAAAAGGAAACAGCAATGTTCAAGTAAAGATGGGTGATTATTATTTAGTTAGATCCATAAGCATACAATTTACTACAAAAACGAAACGATTAATTGTTTTCAAATGACTCTAGTACATGAAAATCTACTATGATAAATGCAACCCTTTAGGTGTCTAATTGAAGGGTGGTCAAGTAAAGTATAACTGAATTCGCATTCAGTAAGTTGCACAGCTGAATATTTTATTATGGAATGAGGTAGTTGGTAAGTGTTCTTTACCAATAAAGTAATTCTCTTTAGCATACTAGTGTTGCAAATACACTATAACCTTTGGCTAATAATGGTCAAAATATGTGGTTTTCAAACAAGAAAGATAATTTAAAAAGAGGTTAACCAAATGAGTGTTGATACTAGTTAAGTTTTCATTTTAAACATGCATATATAGTTGTTCTGTTGCCTTTATCCCGTTTGAAAAAACCCAAGCACCTATATATCGTGGAGTTGTGAATGCCACTTCAATATTATCCAAATTTATATGCAGCTGTTTGAGAACCTTTCGTTATGTAGGTTTTTGTGGTCGTCGTGTCGTTCATTCAAATAAGCCTAATCAAGCAAGTCGGATCTAACGTCAGTTGAATGAACCAGCAGAAAACAGTACTTCACCTCACATAGAATAAAT